ATATATTACGAAGGTTGTTGTGAAGATTCTGGACTGCAATAAAATAAGTAAATAGTTGTATTTATTTATTGTAAAATATACATCGACGTATATTTGTTGGCTGGTGCTAGTTTTTTTCATACCATAAAGATTTAATTTTTCTTGAGAACACAAGTATAAATGAATGGGAATTATTCCATATGTAAAAATTTAAGAAATGTGAATAATTAAGCCTTGTTACCATATGATACGATGGTAAGACACGAATCATGTATTGATTAAAATAAAAATACAACGATTATAATTGTTATATTTATTTAAACGTGACTAGTGTTATGTGTAAAAATTGTTATATTCTTTAACAGCATTATTAATAAACAATGTTTTGACATTACTAATAATAGTATCGCGTTAACTTAAATATTTCTTACATTAGTAGGTCTGCTAAATATTCTTCGAACTCCTCTTCCCTGGTTTTTTCTAAGTTGTCCGCCGGTTTTTCTTTCCAAATTGCTGACTCATCCCTTTCTGTCTGTGCAACGGATTCCTCAGCATTATTTATAGCCTCATTTTCTTCAATTTTAATAGTTATGGTAGATGTGCTTGGTACACTATTCTGTGGTTCTAGATTTCTCCCTAATCTCTTCAAAGCTTTGTGCCTCTTTACTTCGCGCTTCTGTGATCGATAATTCAATTTTATCGAACACTCAGGACACAACCCTTAAATTAAACATTAACAATGAAATGACATACATTAAATACACGAATATTATGAGTAATATCGCTTACTTAATTTCACAAGAGCATTCTTTTTCTCCCCGTGCTCTATGTAACCAAAATTTACTTCCCAAGATTTCAAATCTTCTTTTTCTTTACATTTTTTGTTGCCACACTCAAATTGTCCTTTGCCCACTACTACTTCCTTTTCTGTTCTCCATCTTAAGGCCACCTGTTCAATCAAAATCTTATCAGATTCATTCAAATAGAATTAATTGTATATGGAATTTAATAAAAGTGTATACCTTGTTTTGTTTGTAATACGATAAGTCAGCTATGCAGTATTCTTTAAATAATTTATCATAATACTTTTTCGCCAATCGTGCACCCCATGTCTCCGGTACATCATCGTCCTGATCCCAAAGAAATTTATGGTTTTCTTTAATAACGTCATAATCCGTCTTATCTCGGGACCTCGAAACACAGGCCGAAACGTCAAGAGCTGCTCGTTTTAAGGTTTACATTAAGTTATCATTCTCCCTTATCGTTTACGTTCAATAATTAATAAGGTTATCGGCATAAGTTTCTTGCAGATTAACTCGAAATTAGTTTCTGATGAAGTTTCGAACATTATTCTCAGCAAAAACAAATTGTACACTAGAATCTTAAAGTGCTAAACATACGAAATGCGGAAGATCATGTTACAAAAACCAAATAGAAAATTTAACATACGTGTCTCGTTTTAAAGATGATATGGAGCCTCCATATAAAGTTAAGTAATCGTTAATGAGTTTTTTGTGTCTGTCATAAGCAGACAAATAAGCATAAGCCGGAAACATTTCCTTTTACCAAAGTCCTGATGTATTAAACGATACAAATGTAATCCAATCGGTCGTTGTACGTGTAATCTCTCGATGAAGCGTAACTGATACGTATATAGTTTAAAGTATATATTACTTTCTTACTATTCTTTATACAACATCGATTTCAACAAATTTCTTCAAAAATACGTGGAATTTACGAATAATTTCAGATCTTTCCCGCACACTTGTATCTGCGATTTCCATCGTTTACAATGGCTCTTGTAGGATACTTTTAAAAATGGCGTCTTGTAGCATGCTACGACTTATTTTAGTAACGCAATATCATTAGAGTTATAAATGCTTTTAACAACTTGCGTATCTTAAAATAAAAATGAAACAAAGCAATAATTCTCGTTGAAATTGTATTTAAATCTGTTTATCTAAAAATAGTGATAACTATGATGTTATATATATATACTGCGTCCAATCTAGTTGATTTTGCCGCGTGATGGCGCAGTAGTAAGCGAAACACTTTTGAATGCACGCATAAGGCGGTTATTCTAGATTTGTGAAATCATTCGTACAGTTTAATTGCAAGTGGTTATTATAGTTTAAATTTTAATTGTATTTGTCTTATTTATTGTGCGTAATACGTACAAAATGTCCGCCGCAGAGAATGTACGTCGGTCTACTAGAATACAAGCTCGTGTTAAAGGTATTAACAAGATGTAAAATCTAAATGCAAGAAATAATATTTATACATTTACAATTTCACAAAAAGCCAGGTAATTCTTTAAAGTAACTTTTTTTGTTACAGCACGAGGGAGGACAAAGTATGTTTCAAATGAAGATGAAGATTCCTTTTCAGAAGCATCAGTTGCTTTGATGAAGGAATTAAATGACATTGAAGAAACAGTACAAAGACCAGTTGGTGAGTGTTCTGGATTTTAGTATTTTAGGTTTCTTTTACGACTTAAATAATGAAATAATGCACAACATGTATCTAGAATTATTCTGTGATGACGATGTCAGTGGTCAGACTTTATATAAATTTCAAACACCTGTTAAGAAGAATGCTATGACAGAAAAGGCAAATTTATTTAGTACACCTACTAGTTCGAAAAAAGAGGAACTGCTACCAAAAGTTGTTCTTGAAAGGATAGAATTATCATCGCACAGTACTGGAAAGGGAAAAAGTAATAATTCATTTAAGAATTTAATTAAAATTTATCTTTTCTTTTGACAATCGTAGTAAAATATTTTTAATTTCTATTTTGAACAATCATTTTTACAAGTTTATAAAAGGATTGAATCTGGATTAACATCTAGTGAAAGCGAAAGTATATCAGAGCCTAGCGATTATGTTCCTACTGATGATGAATCCTCGGATGAATCAAGTGAAAGCAACAATGAATCTAACAATGAGGAAGAGGATGATAGTAATCCAAAAGTTCTTAAGAATAAAATTGTATTACAATCAAATTTATTGAGTACACCAAAAAGAATGGGTAGCAAAAATAAACCAGCAGTTTTTCATAAAGATTTTGTAAGTACAGAACATTTGATAGCAAAAAATATGTTTCAAACAATTCATTTTTTAATAATAGCTTACCATATATGTCTTTAAAGCATATGAAAACTGACGAGTATTTTGAAAGTCAATCAGGAAAAGTAATTACATCTGACAGAACATTAGATCATTTAAGCAATTCTCGTTTAACTAAGGAAAAACTGGAAGAATTATTAGCAAATCAAAGTTATGTGTCAACAGAACATAAAAATAAAATTTGTTCATTAACTGAGCATTATGCCACATTATTTTCTATGTGGTATTTTATAATGGAGTATGTATTATAAACACAAAATGATAACCATTCATCCTTGATAAATTACTTAATAGTCTATTTTATTTTAGGCAAGGCTACACTGTGTTACTTTATGGTTTAGGATCAAAAAGATGTTTAATTAATAATTTTCATAAAAGTATAAATTATCATCCAACATTGATAGTGAATGGATTCTTTCCCAGTTTGACTGTAAAAGATGTAAGTTATATAAATGGAAAAGAAACATAGAAATAATTCATAATATAACATTTTAAAGTATCATGATACTCTTCAGATACTGGATGGTATAATTGTTGATTTATTGGAATTAAGTTGCCCTGCTGATACAACTGCATGCATAGATATCATTGAAACAGCCTTAAAGAAAAATCCAGAAGATAGGCTTTATTTGTTAATACATAATATTGATGGCATAATGTTACGCTCAGATAGAGCTCAAGATATGCTCTCTAGTCTTGCAAGTATAAAAAATGTTGGTGTCTTGGCATCTGTTGATCACATCAATGCACCGTTATGTACGATTATTTACATTTCACGTTAATATCCGTTTATTTAAGTTCTTAATTATTATTACACGTTTGCACTTGCAGTATGGGACCATACAAAACGTTCGAAATTTAATTTCTTTTGGTGGGACACAACCACATTTTTGCCTTACAAACAAGAAACATCTTATGAAAGTTCGCTTTTAGTACAACAAAGTGGTGCTTTAGCTTTGTCATCTCTTCATAATGTTTTCCTTTCGTTAACGTCGAATGCCAAATCAATTTACATACTACTTGCCAAGTATCAACTAAGTAACAATAGTAATGCGAATTTCACAGGTACATCTTAGTTTTATGTCTTTTACATTAAAGCTGTAAATCCTACAAAATTACTAATATTTATTCTTATCATTAGGAATGGCATTTAAAGACCTTTATCGCGCTGCTCGCGAAGGTTTTCTCGTGAGCTCAGATTTGGCGTTAAGAGCCCAGTTAACCGAGTTCATAGATCACAAATTAGTAAAAATAAAGCGGAATATCGATAGCGTAGAACATCTCATAATTCCATTGAGTAATACACTGCTTAAACAGTTCCTGGAGGAACGTGAGTCGTGATATTCCTAAATATTCTTGGTAAGCTTTTCTCTTAATAGCTTTGAAGTAAGGCCAATGAAATTGTACAAAATAAAACATACTCCTTTTATTCGTAAGTCTCAAATGTTTCTGTAAATATGATATTAAGATTTTTATTAGCTCCCAGATAAAGTATAAACATTACTCTTTTATTGTACAATATTATAACGGTAGTAGCAATTGTACCGAGTAAATTACATATTCACCATATTCTACGGAATATACTCGTGTAACAGTACACATGTTATGATTTACGTTTGTGTGTGAAATCGGTATTTGAATTGTATTTGTTCCGTGACGTAGTCGTGTAACGCCCAATGTTGGTATCATTCCGAGGCGAAGCGCCAGCGGCAACGTTGTGAATTATTTTTTCTATGTGATTATGACACGTTCACCGGGTAGTGAATAGGGTACGGTAATAACAGTAAGATGTCAAGTACGTTAAGACGTACGTGGAAATACGCGTTAGCGAAAGGTTGAATGAGCCAGCGTTCATTAGTGACGCGTCCGTTCCGCGATTCCGATAGGTAGTTGCACTGTTACAGGGTGCTGTTTCTCGCGATCTCGTTTTTCGCAACCACCGAACGCCGAAAAGCGTTCAGTACCGTGGGAAATATCGCAATGCTATCGAAAATACGATTATAAAGTCGCGTGTGCGGTCATACCGGCTCGTTACTCGATTACTCGTCGCCTTAACCTAACTTTTCGTCGTCGTTTTTCCCCCCTTTTTTTTTTAACGGGGTTA